TACCATATGACGTCAGCTCAGCTATAAAGCTGGTACAAAGGAGGAGGGGAAAGCGGGGGCTACCCCTTGGTCCTCCAGAGCAGCCACTATGCATTTTGGAGCCCTGCTTCCCAGGAAGGGGCCAGACATCCCCTGCTGATGGGAAGTAGAGAATAAATCTTTGGGTTTTTATCTTTGCTTCCATGCACGGCATTGCTTGCCTTTGTTTTTTTTCCATTAAACTGCCTTTTTTTTTTACCCTTATTTTCCTTTCCCCCTTTGCTCTGTGGAGGGAGCGGAAAGAGGGAAGGTCATAGAGTGGATTGGTGAGCATCTGGTGCTCAGCCAGGGTTAACCCACCACAGAAGTTCTCAAGAAGCCTGTCATACCTCCCGCTAACAACTCTGCTGCATTAACAGCATACACCTTAGCTCTTGTTTTCCAAGGATAAATCCGAATACAAAAGTTAACTGAAAGGTTTTACAATGCTTGAAAGTTAATTCAAATCAACATTCTTGATAAAAGCCACTTTCCTGAAGATGATACTGTATATTTTCCACATTCATAAAAAAACCAAGCACAACATGAGACTTCTTAGCAAAGTACAGAGGAAATGGTATTTCCTGGTCTAATATTCAAAAAAGAAATATAATTTATTAATAAAAGTGTATATCCAAAGCCTTAATCCACTTACAGTTCTGGAATTAGGTGGAATGTAAGCAGACACTATTTCCATCAAGAATGCAGCAATTAGCAGCTACAATGGCTAATATTCAAAAACATGCCTGCACTTTGCATCATTTTTAAAAGAGATCTAGCATAAATTGCTTGCAAGAACCATAGCCATTCCTGGACCTCAACATCAACATATATCCTTAAAACTCAACAGATCTAGACATCCTTTATCTTCAGAAGACAGGCTGAAAACAAATGGAAAATTTGGACCTGCAAATAATGCAAGACTCAGTGTCACATTCCATTGCTCACTTAAATCTAGGTCTTCAGCTTGGTTTTCAAGTGGTTATCTACTTTTTCCCTAAGTATAACTAGCAGAGAATCACACTAGTGCTCATGTCACTTTGCAATGCACTGGTGAGAAGTTAACTCTCAAATTAGACATCCAGCTAGGCACCTACAAATTTTTATAGTTTAATCACACTGTCAATCTATGCTGACCTGAGCTCTTTACTGAAATTAATGTTCACACTTCTGTCTGAGCTTCAATGTCAAATTCAAGACTAAATATGTCTGCAGAGGTACAGAAGGATTTCTGTGACGTGTCTGTAAGAGTTAAATATGCAGTATACAAATGTTCACAGGTCAGTGGAAATTCAGAATAATTCAAAACCCCTGAACTCCTGTTTAGTTTTAGGGACTCGATTTTCTGTCAGCTATTCCCACATTTACACTGTGTAACTGCACTGACCCAGTTACCTGGCTGCAAACACTCTGCACCCACCTCCTGTTGTACCTGGGGAAGCAGCCGCGTGCGTCCTCGGTGATCCGGGGCGCTGCAGGCTGCACTCCCTGTGCCACAGGCCCAGTGGGGACGAGCACGGCCTTCGAGAACTCTCCGGGGGCCATGTGCAACCACACCAAAATCAGAGCTGAGAAGGACACGGGACGGCATGTAGGCACCTTGGACTGGCTTCTTTTGCAAAGGCCTTAAGCCAGAAGTTACAAAAGAAGTGAATCAAGCACCACAGGTGACAAACTGCAGAAACATCATTCCTTGACACCGGTATTCGGAAAAAGCTTTTGTCAAGACAATTGCTACATTGGAAACAGTGCAAACAAGATCCAACCAGACAAGCTTGTTGTTACTTCAGTTTTGAAACGCCTCCACCTTCCTGATTCCTCTCTCCTCTACAGCGAGTGGAAAGAACACACTTGCCTCCTCTTTCTATGACACCTAAGTGCAGTGTATCTTAGAAGAAGATAAAGTACAACCCTATTCAGTTATCATTATTTAAATACTGTCTCTGCTGGATTGTACGTTGAAGCTCCATCCCCATTCCACAGCCAGCTTCATGTGATCTTCACAGGTGCCTTCTTGTGTGCGCAAAGGAGGGTGACGTAGGGAACGCCAATGAACGCCCACCTTTCACTGGGCCAGAACTTTATGACAGGGCCCTGCTCAGGGATCTCGGAGGCAGCATCGAAGTACGCGAAGCAGACGCAGCCCAGGTATGCCGCAAGGCAAATCAAAATGTGCCTGGGAACAGACAACCGCCCCACCCCACACAAAAAAAAAAAAAAAAAAAAAAAAAAAAAAAAGAAAAAAATCAGTACTGTCACTTCACTAAAGCAATCAAATATATCACCATGCTTTACAATCAGTTTGTCCTTCGGCTTCTTCCCCGAGTCCCCCATAGGGTTGCTGTCTGTCCTTCGTACACATGTGAAGAATATAGAGCATAAGGAAAACTACAAAAACATTGCTTATACTTGGTCCAAACTGGCTGCAGCTTTCTGGACCCTCTGTACCTGATAGATTTGTGTAGAAATGCTGAGATATAGCACCTTCAATAGAAGAGCAGAATTTGCTGGGTGGTAAAGGAGAAAAGGCAACAAAGCTCTCCACTACTCTCCCATTTCACCTCCAGTTGTTGACAATGGAAGTTTAAGCTTTCACAGTCACTGCTTCAGCTGAGCAGCTGTGGGATTTTTAGTAACCTGAAGGCCAAGGAATTCAGTTACAATTAAAGAACTTAGTGTTTGAAGGATCTGATTAGGCTGAAGAGACTCTGAAATCAGCCACCTTGGATGGCATGAAACTTGCTCTAGGCTTATAATCACACCAGTAACTCTACTTAGCAGTAACCAGAAATGGCCATCAGGCACACAGAAGGGCAATGGGGTGAGGACGTATCACATTTGAATCAAAAGGTGGAGTTTATACACAACACTTACCACACACAATGCAAATAAGGGAAGTTAAATGAGGACCAGATCTCACAAAATGCTTTGTCACTGATCCAGCAGAAAAGTGCTAGCATCCACCAAAGACCTGAAAAGAGACCCAGTTTGTACACTCGCAGGTTTTCACACCTGAGGAGGAAAACACAAAGCAGTTGTTACAAAATTTGCTTCAATTAACTGGTCTTTTCACATCACTGATATGACCTTCTAAAGCACTCCCAAACCTACTAATCAGATGACAGAGGGATTTGTTTAAAGTGATGTATTTGAGCTACATCTCAAGAGTAAACCAATAAGCCAGATCTCTAGCCAGTATAATATGGCATACTCAGTCTTCATCAGGGTTACAGGCTTCTGTCTTACCCTTCCACATCCTAGAAGGAAAGCAAGTCAATGCTAAGCACCCCACATTCCATTGCTCTGTCCCAATGTCTTACAAAGTGGATCATCTAATCCATACTCATCTATGTCTAACACCTCTGCCAAAAAGTTATTGAGAATGACTCCATGCCTCCTTCTCTCCAGCAGATCCCTAGCCAACCTTTCTGTCCGCTCCGACCACCACTCCAGCACACTTAACACTGAATCATCAGTTTTATTCCACACAATTCTTGGGGTCATTCACTGCAGCTAGAAGGTGATCAATGCCTGGCAAACAGGTTCTTCAAAGGGTCACTTCACCACGTGACACCCAGAAGCAATTAAAATATGTATCCCTGAAGGAGGGAGCTAGAATAGGCAAACATGTCTTAACTGCGTGCACTGCAGTAGAATTTATGGTACCTGATCTTCTTCCCATGTGACTCTCCTTGACAACTCAAGATACACAAGGCAGCACAGACCAAAAAGCTCCCTAGTCCTTCTGCCTTCCACACAAAATACTTATGAGCCTGAAACCTGTTGTCTTCATCTGGTCTGTTTACAGAGTTCTAATTTTTTCAACATTTACTCCTAATTGTCTCTGTGGCCACACAGCCACTGGCTACTCTGCACTGACTATCAGGGAAGTACTAATACTGATCAGCTCTGTCTCCAAACTAAAATTTGTCACTACACCTTCCCACACACGTGAGACAATCTCCAACCATTCAGCTGGAGGAAGACAGGGTCGGAGAATGATCTCTGCCCCACTGTGGTGGAAAAGGAGAACTTCCACTGCTACAGGAGCAGCGTAAGTGCTAAGGGAGCCCAGGTAAGCATTCACAAAAATCAAAACACACAGACAGAGTTCTCTGTCCAGCAACACTTGTCTGAATGTACCGCAGGAGCAGCAGTATACCTGGCTCTGGTGTACTGCACGCTAAAGAATTAGAGCGTTCCCTGCGGGATTTTTTTTAATTCTTGAAATGCTACTTCCGCTAACATTTTAACAGGCACTTGGGAGTAAGAAACTCCTAAGTCTGAGCAGAGGCACCTTTATAGCCACTGGATTAATGACAGAAAACCACCTGATCTTGTTAACAGAGGATTTTCTGCAGTGTTCTTTGTACAAGTTTGTTTTAGTTCTAACATTTCTTTTTTAAGCCATCTATAAATAATGTCACATTCATAATCATCACATCTATCTTTAGTATTCAAAAAAGTGCTTCAACTACTGCCTAAGCTGTTGTCTCCACAAGAAAGATAGCCATCTTTGTACCAGAAACACCTACAATACTGCCACAAAAATTAATACTCCACATAGCATATAAACCAGAATGACCTTTTTCTTAGGCCCGAGTCCCTCAATCCACGTGGCAAACCACCAGGACATGGTTAGAGGAGACAGAGCTTGCCCAAGGCAGCTTCAAGATTTTGCTGCTTATTGTAAGAAAGGCTTGCTTCTCCGAAATGTCTCTACTTTTAAAAAGGCTACAAGGAGCACAAAGGAAAAAAAGAGTAAGGAGGTCTTTCAGTTGCCTGTCAAGTTTCAGAGCGCAGATACACAAATTCTTTTTTACATTCATTTTTAAGAGTAAGAAATACATCCAAGATGTTACACACTTATCAGTAAAACTATACAGATAAATTCCCCTCATTTTGGAGGACTCATGCTTCTACCAAATGGCTAGACAGCATGGGCTCCTTCAGAGAAGAGGGAAAATCACTACTGGTCAAAAACCACTGCTGTGTGTATTAAGCACATCGGGCTTAATTTGCTTCCAAGACTTACAATCTTCAGTGAGACACACAACTGTGTGCAAGAGCCAGACACTAAACCACGTACCTAACCAGAAATATGCATGAATCAATTTTGTACATTTGACAGATAAAACCAGACTTTAGCAACGGGTAATTGTGCATTCTGGCATTCTATGTGTAGATTGACAACACAAAAGCTTTCCAGCTCCTCTGCCCAGTAACTATGCCTATCAATATACAACTGCTCTGATTATCAACAGGAGAGGACACTTAACCTGCATGGTTCAAAAAGTTCAAAGTTGCAAAGGAAAAGTGAAAGCTTACTTGAAGAAACTTTCCAAATGCCAGATCAGCCATAGAAATGTTACAGATCATAATGACAGGTTGCTCAGTACCACCATCAGGTACTGCAGTTTATTTTTGGCAGCTTAAGACTAGATGCTGCAGGGTATACTGCTAAATACTAGGCTTAGGCAGAAAGAGTCAAGCACAATGAGGAGAGCATAGCCTGCTGATCTGTGCAATAATCCTGGTTTCTCTGACATCACTCTTCACAGAGTCTTCAGGCTGCAGTGACTGTGCTTCAGATGGGCTGAGGACATGGGACTGCAAATTCTCCTACTTGGATTGCTTTTACTACAATGAGGAGATGTAATGCAGATATCACCTGGACACTGGCAACAGACACTGACCCAACCCACTTCTCAACAGTACTAATCATTCAAACAAGCACTGAAACAGCACCTGCTAGCTGAGGGTCTGAAAGAGCTGTCCGCAGTGCTCTGCACAGAATTGTGACACGCTCCTACCCTACTCTGCTCTGGAAGAAATTGGGCCCCATAGAGCTTGCATTTCCATTTGCAGCTGTTGCCTATACAATGCATCGTGTTCTCAGCTTAACACAAACAGCAGTTATCTAAATACCAAAGTTTCTGCAAACACTCATGTGCCTCAGCCATTTGTTATCAAAGGGAGTGGGCTGGCACATGCTTCCAGCAGCTTTATCGTGCTACGTCATGACACTCCCAACAAAACACACCAGCTTTCTTCAAAGCAATGCAAGCTGCTGGATGTCAATTAACTTCTTGATTTATTGTAACACAGGTATCTCCCTTTACACCCAAGAGAATATTTTAAACTTTTAACTAGATTAACCTTTTAGTCAAGGGAATAAAGGGAACTGTGAGCAACCTGTGGCAATGAAGCAAGGCTCACCCACAGCAGGAGAATCAAATACATACAGACCTGAAGCTAGGGTAAACTGCTGAAGGCTCAGAGGTCAGCTGCACAACACTCCAGCATCTGTCTGCATACAGAAATAGTCACGTGCCTGATAATGACTCACTAAATGATACTTACTTGATGATGTTACAATCTCAATGGTTATCCAGGATGGACCAGCAAATCAAAGGATCCACATCTATGGTCTTATTGATACCCCACTTAGGCGAGTTCATTTTGTTTAGGTTTGGTTTTTGTTTTGTTTTTTTTTTTTTAATTAATGAAACACATTGAGGGATTTGTCTGAACAGAAATAAGAATGAATTTTACAATGTCTTTGTCTTTCAAGGACAAGTATGCACCTAACTACCTTTTGATCATCTCCTGCCCACAATACTTCCTAGCATACACCCTACCCTACCAGCTCCGTATTTAAGGATATAATGTTCTTTTGTGACAATGCTATCTTCTCATAAAGATCCATGCATGCTTGGGCCTTGCTCCATATTCCCTCTAGCACCCAGACTGTGATCACTCAATCACCTCATCCTTATGCAGACTGTACAGCAGAAATTCTGTCAGAAGAGTGAAACCCTGGCCCTGATTCCACAACAAACAAACTTGAGTTAGGTCAGGTTGTAGCAACAGATACGTTGTAAGAAGACAGACAGTACCTAAAGTAGTATAATGGCCTAGGAAAAAAAAAACCTTGACAAAAATGTCTGAACTGGGAGAGCAAGTTTATATCAGATCTGTGCTTGAAAGTGGGAGAAGCATTTCTGGTCTGCTAGCACAAGCACTGACGCCAGATCTAGTGCATCATCACGCAGTGGCCTAAGGACCTCAGGAGGCAGCTCTGTATTCAGGAGAAATGTACTCACCTCTTCAACTCAGCAATGAGCAAAGCTGTGCAGGGAACGCCCAGAGTCATTAGCGAGATGTTGTTGATGGCAGGCTTGATGAAGGCGAGGCAGGTAGTAACACCAGACAGGACACCCACAGCAGCTTTAAATCGGCTCCTGAACATTTGAGGGTTTTTGGAGAAGAAAAACAGCTTTTAATTAAAAACTTTCAATTACTAAAACCAGAAATCTTAGAATTATTTTGGTATGTAAGAAAATTCAGGTTTCTCTAGGTATATTCAGAAGGTGCAACGACAACGTACAGAAAATGGATATGGATCTTGCACACATCTGCACGTGCATGCAGAGTTAATCCAATACACAAATCTTTGCTGGACTGTGGTCTTTTGAAGCAGCTACGTATACGTATGCATATGCATCCACACACACCCTAATCACTGGTTTCAAAATCCAAAGGCCTGAAATGATGCCAGAAAATAACCATGGTAATTGGGAACATGCAGTTAGTCATAGTGGGCTTGTGTAGGGTGTAGCAGAATTAGGTTAAAACTTGCTTTTTTCTGTACTGGAATAAACCCTTTTAAGTGTTTTGAGAAGTACCCAGCAGCAAAGACAAAGAGGCCCCAGGAGAGACAAGAAAGCAGGGTGTTTCAGTTCTAATTCATACAGGTGTTGCACTTCTTGTGATAATGAACTGCTTATGCAGACTGGGTGGAAGCTGAAAGCTGCCTAACCAGGAAAGTTTGTTTGGAGAACAAGTGATGAAGATGATAGGACCACCAGAATGACTGTGCTATCTATGAAAGGACACTAGATGACAGCAGAGACCCTGGAATAATTATCTCCTAGGAAGGTGCGTTTATGTTAATGATTTTTGGAAGAGAATATGAGTATGTAACACCTTTGTAAATATAAAAACTTGAAAGTTATGGGGTTGGTGGGCCACCTATGGTGGAGAACCCCCAGTGGGGCCCGGTGCCAGAATAAAGAACACCCATTAACAGTCACTCGGCTGCAGGGTTAAGTTTTTCTTTGTTGCAGACCACACTCCTATCTCCTCCCACAGTGAGTCAGGAACAAGTCCACCTCTGCATGCAGCAGTCTACTTCCTCCAAGCAGAGCTGTGTGATCATTCTTCATGCTTCTAACATGGATTTTTCAGATATTTTGTTATTTGTAATGCCTCAACTTCTACAGTCACATCAGTCTGTCTTGTTTTCCTTTATCTCTTTTAAGTCCTACAAATACTGAAAACTACAAGGTAAGAACATTTATTTCATCCAATTTCAATAGTAGGCAAGGATTCCCACACTTTAAAAGATTACAGTTTGATATATTCTTAGGATAAATGAAATCACAATTTGGCCCTGTATAAGCAGCCTGACAACTCTTACATTAATTATATGTTAACTTCAAGTTAGGAATTTAAACAACCCACTTCTGGTCTGTGGCAGGACTATGACAGACACAAGATCATCATGCTGCCCTTCAACTACTGTCCCACAGCTTTATAAAACTAGCTGCTGTCCAAGGATGGCTCTTCTGTCCTTGATTCTATGTCTGTGGTAGGGTCTCAGTACACCTGTGCAGCATCGTGCCCTGGCCACAAGTGACACCACCTTCACCTAGCTCATTCCATCTGGCTTTTTCTTTAAAGTTTTTCTTTCTGCTGGAAGGCAACAAGTTACTTCAGTAAGAAGCTATGTTCTGATGTGAATGCCTTAAGGACTAAAGGCACTACAAATTGGTTGTGGTAGATAGTAACATTTGCAGCATAGAGAAGCCAGAGCATGATGAGGATGGAGAAAGTGAAGACCGCTGCAGTGAGGAGAGGATTAGGTAGGCGTATTAGAGGATAAGCTAGGCAAAGGAAAAAGAAAAAACAAAACAAAACAAAACAAAAAAAAAGGAAGATAAAGCTGTTCTGGGCTAGGGTTGGTTGCCTAGTATGTCTTTCTCCATAAGCTTCAGAAAGGTATAAAGACCATACTGTGTAACTACCATGCCAGATTCTCAAGAAGAGGAGTTCTGATAAATTTAGGATAGGGGACATCCTTGACCTCATCTCAGTATTTTTACAGATCAGTTATAACCTGGGAGATGATTACTTATAGTTTTAACACTAAGTTCAACAGAAACAGGATTTCACCCCAAAAGCATTACTATTCCTTGTAAAAAGGGTATAGTTTAATCTCTTGACCAACACTATGAACCTACCCAGCACACTATCAGAAGGTAGTGACAGATGACACACAATGATCCCCACAGGCTTCTGAAGATTAATTTACAGGCAGAAACTCTTCAAGACTCTGAAATCTTCTTCACCTGAACTAAATGTCTAAGAGTCACATCATCGACCAAAACACCCCAGTAAAACCTAATTGCTTGTTAAGTTGATGGTGTCCTGTAATACGCCCAAGTATTAAATCCACACCAACATGACAAAGCCATTAGACTCCACAGACTGTACATGGGAATTCAAGACACTTTCCTCAGTGCAAGCTATTTTGAGGAATAGTCAACCTAGGTACCAACATTCCCTCCTCTCCCCCTGACAGCAACTTCTAATCAAGCACACAAGGGGAAAAAAAAAAAAAACCAAAAAAAAACCCACCACAAAATAATGCCAGAGATTAACAGTATAAGAAGGCAAGAAGCAGCAGCCATAGCCATTTTCAGAGAAAAGAACATTGGTGCTGCAATTCAGATGTCTCATTACCTCAACATCTTTACTGCATAAAAGAGCAATATGTACAAGGATTACAGCACATTTTTTTAGGGGTGATAAACTACAACCAGAATGTTTAAACTGGCTAAAATGTGCTTTTAATCCTGCAAGAAAAAGAAAAAATATACTTTTACAACAGCAATAGGCTTCTAAACACACACTTAGCCTTTGAATAGTTAACACTATCCACAGCCACTGCCTTCAAAATTCAGATGAAAATTCAGCTACTTCCACAGGTCCAGCTGTACGTACACTTTAGGATATACAAAAGGAAGAGGGTGTCACAAACCGGTACCGAAGGGGC